CAGATTATTGCCTTTCTAAAGAGGAAGAATCATGAGACTGTTAGCCTTTGGAAGCTACAACTCCCGTAGCTGTCTGACTGTGGCTGATTTTGAACACAGTTTCTTTATCTGAGAAATGAGCAGTTGATCTGGGTGGTTTCTAAGGAGTTTTTTTTCAGAAAGGTTTGCTCTTATTTTAAAATGTTAATGCTGTGATGCCCTTCAGTTTACTCATTGTACTATTAGCTTTGCAATAAGTAACTTAAAATTTTAATATAACTGCATAGTTGTGCTTAATTATTATGTTAGTAAATTGAGAGAGTAGATATATATAAAAATTTAAAACTAGAGCCTAGGAAATTTGCCTACTTTTTATTTAACACATGAGTACTTGAAGCTATCAGAAGATTGGTTTATGGGTAACTGAGGTTTTAATTATATATTGTTTAAGTGACAATGCTGATCATCAGTGCATCCCAGTTGCTTACATTTTAACTTCTGAAAAGACTCTAAAAATTTTTGTAAATGAGGTAGTCCATATGGTAAAAATTTTCTGACTAGGATTGCAAGAGAGAGAAAGGTACATTGGCCTACAGCTGAAACCTTGGAAATTAGATATTACACAACTTGAAAAAAAGTTTTTTTAAAGATTTATTAATTTATTTGAGAGTCAGAGTACAGAGAGAGAGAAAAAGAAAGGTCTTCCATGGGCTGGTTTACTCCCCAAATGGCTGCAATGGCCAGAGCTGAGCTGATCTGGAACCAGGAGCCAGGAGCTTCCTCTGGGTCTCCCACACAGGTAGAGGGGCCCAAGCCAAGCACTTGGGCCGTCTTCCCCTGCTTTCCCAGACCATGGCAGAGAGCTAGATCAGAAGAGGAGTAGCCGGGATACAAACTGGCATCCATATGGGATGCCAGCGCCGCAGGTGGAGGCTTAGCCTACTACGCCATAGTGCTGGCCTGACAAGTTGAAAATGTAAGGTCTAGGAGCCATTGCTGTGTGTAGCAGGTTAAGCTACAGTACTGGCTGGCTGAAGTCCCAGCTGTTCCACTTCTGATCCAGCTCCCTTCTAATGCCCCTGTGGAAGTCAGTGGAAGATGGCCCAAGTCCTTTGGACCTCGTAAGTATATAGGAGACCAGGAGGAAGCTCCTGGCTCCTAGTTTTGGCCTGGCCCAGCCCCAGTCATTGCCACCATTTGGGGAGTAAACAAGCAGATGGAACACTTACCCCCACCCCCCTGTTTCTCTTTAACTTTGCCTTTCAAATAAATAAATAAATCTTTAAAAAAATTTTTAGGGCCTAAGATAATATATAAATCTCTCCATTGTGTAGTGTATGCAGCAGCAGATCTTTCCTGATCACTTTGATTCATTTACTTGTGAAGTTAAGAGTGAATGAGCCTGTGCAGCCAGGTTTAGCTTTTCCCTTTGGGACCATCTGGGAATAATTTTTTTTTTTTAAGATTAATTTATTTTATTTGAAAGGCAGAGTTACGCAGAGGCAGAGAGAGAGAGAGAGAGGGAGGGAGGGAGGGAGGTCTTCTATCCACTGGTTTACTCCCTAGATGGCCTCAATGACCGGAGCTGAGCTGATCCCAAGCCAGGAGCCAGGAGCTTCTTCTGGGTCTCCCACGTGGGTGCAGGGGCCCAAGGACTTGGGCCATCTTTTACTGCTTTCCTAGGCCATAGCAGAGAGCTGGATCAGAAGTGGAGCAGCCGGGACTCGAACTGGCCCCTGTATGGGATGCCAGCAATGTAGGCGGCGGCTTTACCTGCTACTCTGCAACGCCGGCCTCCTGTTTTTTTCAATTCTAGGGATAAATTTAAGGAAAATTATTCTCATTGTTAAGCTATATAAGCATAGAAAACTCAACATCTGTATTGAAATGATTTCCCACTGCTTGGTGGTTGTAATAGCAGAGCAAATGGATTACATTGATCTCTTTGAATTTATTTTGTATAATACAGGACTGCTGTTGTGTGGAGTGTAGAATTCATGAAAATGTTTAAATTCTCTAGTAATTAAATGCTTTCATGTATGAAAATTTATGCATATGGGGAAATGTTAATTTATTGAAATATATATTCTTCCTATATAAATTATTATGGAATATAAAATATTAAGTACATTATAATTTATAAAGCTAAGAGAATTAAAACATGAAAAAAGTAAAGTGAAAGATAACCTGTTTTTAGAAAGTATAATCTTAAGGAAATTAGAATGTCAGTCATGACATTAGGCATGAGGGTTTTTTGTAGAGATTTTTGCAGAATTTCTCTTCCAAAACTTCCCTCTGTGGTGAAGTAGGAATGTTGTGAGATAGAGTTGTGAGATAGAGTCTAGTTTAAAACTCACTCATCTATAAAACTAGCCTCTGTATTAATACTAGAGGTATTTTAAAATTTGTTTTTATATAGGGATATAGTTTTTGTTGCTGGCAAATTACAATTTTAAACAGAGCCTTACGGAGTGAACATTGTGTTGCGGTAGGTTAAGCTGCTATTTGAGATAACTACATCCCATAATAAAGTGCCAGTTACTCCTCTTCTGATTTAGCTTCCTGCTAATGCATCCTGTGAGGCAGTAAGTACTTGGGTCCCTGCCACTACATGGGAGACTTAGATGGAGTTCCCAGCTTCAGCCGGCACATTCCTGGTTATTGCATGTATTTGGGAGTGAACCAGCAGATAGAATCAATCAGTATCTCTTTCTCTTTCATTCTACCTTTTAAATAAATAAATCTTAATTAAAAAAAGATAAATAAAGCCTTCCTAGTTTGTTTCAATTTTATAAAGATGGAGATTCTAATACACCTTTTAATTACTTATATCTAGTTCATTTGTTTTATGTTTGGAAAGCTTTTGATTTAAAGTAAGAATTATGATTGTAATGAAAAATATGCCTATCATTTATCATTTTCTCTGAGAATTATGGAAAATTAGAAGAATGCTTTCTGAGTGTGTCTTTATTTTGAAGTCTTAAAGCAGCAAATATCTTTCTAGATAGAGATGTTTTCATCAAGTTATTTCTATCCAACTGCATAGTTGAGTTTGCGGTAAGAAGATTCACCACCAATTTATTTTAGTAGTCAAGATCACATTGGAGAACCACATGAAAATATATACTAGAAGATAGCCATGTCCCATATTGAAGTACTTGGTTTCAATTCTCAGCTCTATCTCCTGACTCAAGCTTCCTGACAGTGCAGACCCTGGGAAGCAGCAGTGATGACCCAAGTAATTGGGTTCCTGCAACTCATTTGGGAAACCCTGGATTGCATTCCCAGTCAATTCTCAGCTCTATCTCCTGACTCAAGCTTCCTGACAGTGCAGACCCTGGGAGGCAGCAGTGATGACCCAAGTAATTGGGTTCCTGCAACTCATTTGGGAAACCCTGGATTGCATTCCCAGTTCCTGGCTTTAGCTGTGTGTCCCAATCCCAGCCATTGTGGACTTTCAGGGAGTGAACTAGTAAATGGGAACTTGCTCTTTCCGTCCCTCCCTCTCTGCCTGGTTATCAAAGAAGTGAATACATAATAAAAAAATTTTTAAAACCCTTGTAATAAAAATTGACAGAATACTTCACTGCCCTGGCTCTTTGTGTTATGCATAGGCTCAGACCTCCTTATTCTTATGTGATATGCAAAATTGAATGAGTGAACCATTGATTTTAATAGAAACTATTTTTGAAATACTGGTATTTTAGAAATTACAAATACAATTTTTTTTAAAGATTTATTTTATTTATTTGAAAGAGTTAGAGAGAGAGAAGTCTTCCATCCGCTGGTTCACTCCCCAAATGGCTGCAACTGCCGGAGCTGAGCCAATCTGAATCCAGGACCCTCTTCCGGGTTTCCCACGTGGTTGCAGGGGCCCAAAGACTTGGGCCATCCTCCGCTGCCTTCCTGGGCACTTTAGCAGGGAGCTGGATTGTAAGTGGAGCAGCCAGGTCTCAAACTGGTGCCCATATGGGATGCCAGGACTGCAGGCTGGGGCTTTAACCTACTGTGCCACAGCACCTGCCCCTGAGATACTGTTTTGAAGTGCTGAAAACTAATATTAACTTATGATATGTAAGTCAAGGTGGAGATTGGTAGTCACTTGGAAACTGAAGCATTTAGAATGTTTACGAATGTAACCCTGAGGTTCTTTTTTTTTTTTTTTTTTTTTTTTTTTGACAGGCAGAGTGGACAGTGAGAGAGAGAGACAGAGAAAGAAAGGTCTTCCTTTGCCGTTGGTTCACCCTCCAATGGCCGCCGCTGCAGCCGGCGCACCGCGCTGATCCGATGGCAGGAGCCAGGATCCAGGTGCTTTTCCTGGTCTCCCATGGGGTGCAGGGCCCAAGCACCTGGGCCATCCTCCACTGCACTCCCTGGCCATAGCAGAGAGCTGGCCTGGAAGAGGGGCAACCGGGACAGAATCCGGCGCCCCAACCGGGACTAGAACCCGGTGTGCCGGCGCCGCAAGGTGGAGGATTAGCCTATTGAGCCACGGCGCCGGCTACCCTGAGGTTCTTATATCTACTTTATTAAAAGAATTTATTACTAATGAACTTACCTTGTAAACTGTTTTTTTTCCTCCTAATAACAGATTAAAAGTTGTGACTTTTCCCCTAATATATGTAAACCTTTGTTTCCTATTCAAGTGAATTCTTAGTTTTGATTGCAGAATTCTTTAGGCCAGCCTGTAATATAAACTCAAGAACATGTATGAAAATGAAAAAACATAATATAGGCATGTTTCTTATTTCTTTCTTCCTTTGAATGTATTAGATTTATTGGTTATAGCTCTCTGTGAAGCAGTTGCTGTATGTCAGAATGATTCTATATTTAGAGATATTAATATATAGACATTTTAGTGTATACTAATTTTATTTAAACATAATATTTATAGGCACAATGTCTAATTTTATTACTTATTAGCTTTTTAAAAAGTCTTTTAAATGAATGTAAGGGTTGATAGTAATATCAGTGTTGATACATTTAGCAAAGGTCTCATTTAATTTTTTTTCTCTCATTAGGCAAGAAATTATGAAATGGAATGGATGGGGATATAATGATTCCAAGTTCTTCTTCAATAAAAAGGGGCAAGCTGAATTGACTGGGAAAAGGTAACCCTAGTTTGTTCTTTTTGTTCCTTTTGACTTTTTGTTCTATGAAAAATTTTAGACATGTATAAAAAAGAAAGGATATTACATTGAACCTTCCTCCAGCATACAAACTATTAACATTTTTCCATAGTTGCTTATTTTTTTCATGTAATATTTTAAATTCTGACATTGTCATGTCACATCTAAATATTTATATATGTATCCCTTTAAAAATAAGGACCTGGGATAGACATTTGGTGCAGTTGTGTAAGATGCCTCTTTGTTTGCCCTTATTCCTTATCAGAGTACCTGGGATTAAGCCCTAGCTCCACTCCTGATACCAGCTTCCTACTTCTGTGTACTTGTGGAGATAGTAGGTGATAGCTCCAGTGGGTGGGTCCCTGCCACTCACATAAAAGACCTGGATTGACTTCTGGGTTCCCAGCTTTGACCTGGCTCTGCCCTGGCTATTGTGTACCTTTGGGGAGTGAACCAGTGGGTGGGAGATCTCTGTCTGCTTGTCTTTCTGTCTTTGCCTTTCAAGTACAATAAATACATAAATTTTTTAAGAGGGCCTAATAGAATCTATCATATACCACTTTCATACTTCCAAAATAAGAAAAATTATATAGTATCTAATTATTTGATTCAGGTTTACATTCTCTCAATTGTCTCATCAGTACCATTTATGTGTTGTTTATTTAAATCAGGATTCAAACAGGGTCTACAGCCATTCCACCACCCAATTCTCATGCCATTGGTTTGTTGAAAGCAACTTCATATTTATATCTGGCACTTTGTTTGTTAGTGTGGGATTTGGTTCTTTGTGAATATAAATAATATTTTCAAAATTAGTTTTTGAGATAACATTAAGGAAGAAATTAAGAAAGAGCAGTCATTTGTGTGGTTGGCTTTCACATTTCTGAAATGTTTTGGTAAGGTGTTGATAATGATAAAGAATATTTGTTCAGTCTTATCTCAATAAAACTGGAAAATATTTAAAAAGAATTTTGGAGGGATATTTGTATTGTTGCAGTTTTTTCCAGATGTGGATGGAATTTTAAAATGGTTCTTAATTGATTTTAACCAAAATAGCCCCTGCCAATTCTGTATTTTTGGTTTGTCTATTGAATCCTGATGTAAATCTTGAAAAGACAGTGAGTACAAATCTGGCACTAATACAGTAAATAAAACATTGAGACTAAGTGAAAGCATTGGATCTGATGTATTTTGATTCTGTTCTTGTATTACATTTTGATTTCATATCTCTTGGACATTCATATGCTTAGGTTAATGTTTTTTAAACTTATAAGGTACATAATTATTAAAATTTTAGCAAAGAAATGTTTCATTCCTTTGGAGAAATTACTTTCTTTTCAATATAATTGTTTTTTTCCAACTTATACATATTTTGTACCTGAAATAAAATCCCAGGAGTAATAATTAGGAACTAGTTTTGATGAAGATATGAAAACATATATTTGACACCTACTTTTTGATACGAAAAATAAGTATTATCTGTATTCAAATCTCCCATCATTGGGCATGCAGAGGGAAGTTCAAGTGAGAAACTGTAGTGGAAGTTTCTGGTTGAAATTAAATTTCCTAATGTCCTAAATGTTGTCTTTCCTGTTTGAAATAGAATAATGTATAATAGAAACTTATATAATAATGTATATATTGTTATATATATTATATTATTATATTTTATATATAATATATTATGTATATGTATATATAATAATGTATAACTTATATAATAATGGATAATAGAAACTTATCTAGATGGTGACTTTTCAAAATTTTCAAGGGGAAAAAATAACTTTCTAGCAGAGAGCTGGATGGGAAATGGAGCAGCTGGGACATAAATTGTAGCCCACATGGGATGCTGGGGTCACAGGTGGTAGCTTTACCCACTATGCCACAAGGCTGGGCCCAGATAGTAATTTGTATTTCAACACAGTGCCCTTGAAAGCATAAGACACCTACTGTCTTCTATAATGCGCACTATGTGGCATAGTGGTTTGTGCTAGGAGCATGTGTGTCCTTGTGAAATGAGGGTTTAGGTGCAGAGAATATAATATACTTGATACCCATACCTTAGTGAGTTCCATGGGTTCAGTAACTGATTCGTTTTTGTTTTTTTTAAGATTTAGTTTTCTTTCTTTCTTTTTTTTTTTTTAATTTATTTTTTGACAGGCAGAGTGGACAGTGAGAGAGAGAGACAGAGAGAAAGGTCTTCCTTTGCCGTTGGTTCACCCTCCAATGGCCGCCGTGGCCGGCGCACCGTGCTGATCCGATGGCAGGAGCCAGGTTCTTCTCCTGGTCTCCCATAGGGTGCAGGGCCCAAGTACTTGGGCCATCCTCCACTGCACTCCCTGGCCACAGCAGAGAGCTGGCCTGGAAGGGGGGCAACCGGGACAGAATCCGGTGCCCCGACCGGGACTAGAACCCGGTGTGCTGGCGCCACAAGGCGGAGGATTAGTCTAGTGAGCCGCGGTGCCGGCTAGTTTTATGTATTTCAAAGACAGAGTATAGAGAGAGGTAGAGACAAAGAGAGAGAGAGGTCTTCCATCCGCTGATTCACTCCCCAAATGGCCACAATGGCCAGAGCTGAGCTGATCTGAAGCCAGGAGTCAGGAGATTCTTCCAGGTCTCCTCCGTGGGTTAAGGGGCTTAAGGACTTGGGCCTACTTCCACTGCTTTCCCAGGCCATAGCAGCCATAGTAGAGAGCTTGATCGGAAGAGGAGCAGCCCAGACACTTCAGGCTGGGGCTTTAACCCACTGCGCCACAGCTCGGGCCCCAGTACCTGGTTCTTAATCTGGATATTCTCACCCTTGATCTGTCAGTTTTCTCAGAAGAGATTGAACTGTAGGGGTCTGATACATTTGCCACAATTATATAAGTGATTTAAAATGAGATTTAAAAGATTGATTTAAAATGTTAGAACCTCAGTTTTTTTGCTTATGGTTATTTTTTAGGATATGAAATACTTGTAGTGTCCTGTCTGATATCTTGGAATCTAGAAAACAAAATGCAGCTTGTTAGGAGAGCATAAATTCAAAACAAAATGAATTCATTGGTCTTGATGGATATTTTATCCAGGTGGTAATGGACATACAAAAGCCTCATTTCTTGGTATCATTGACTCCTGAGACAGTGTTCGTGGGGAAGAAGAAAAAAAGGGTGCAGCTCACTGGAGAAGCCTGTGACCGAGACCAGAATGATTATCTGGTGTATTCTTTTGGGTAGAAGGAAATTCCCATACACAGAAATGGGATGTAGGGGTATATGTGGCACAGCAGGTTAAGCTGCATTTCTGTGAGCACTGATTCTAGTTCCCACTATTCTACTTCTGATCCAACTCCCTGCTAATATGCCTGGAAAAGCAGCAGTAGATAGTCCAATTATTTGGGCTCCTGCCACCCATATGGGTGACCTGGATGAAAGTCTAGCTCCTGGCTTCAGCCCAGCCCAGCTCCAACTGTTGTGGCCATTTGGGGAGTGAACTAGCGGATGGAAGAAGTATGTCTCTGTCTTTCCCTCTTTGTTTGTAACTCTGCCTTTCAAATAAATAAATAAATTTTAAAAAAGAAAAAAGAAGTGGGATTTAGATGTTCTGGGAGTGTTGGCTACACAAACAATAGACTAACACTAAAGAACTGATAGTTTCCATTTTGATGCTTCCACAAGCACCTTTATCTTATATTAGCACAATAAACTAAATTGTATTAAATTATAGCTTTCTCTATATCTACTGTAGATTCTTGGATAATGGATAAATTGGTATAATTCTTTGTTATCAGAAAATATTTACAAACATTCTTTAAGATTTTTTACTTATTAAATGCTTACTGAATTATAATACCCTTGAAAAATGAATAGTTACATTTTAAAAATAATGAAGAGATTGAGGATGAGAGATGTTAACTAGTTTACCTGGGGTCACCTGCTCTGTGGGAAATTGGGGTTAAAAACCAAGTGTTTTAAGCTTTGTTCGCAGACTGTTTCTGTTTTGCTGTGCTTGTGAGTTATTTGTGAATAACTGGAGATCCAGTATGTTGATTCAGTTTTCTCTCCAAGCTCTGGCAGCACTTTTTGGTAGTCTTCGATACTCTGTACTGACAGAGTGGAATTGGTTGTATTGTAAAAAGTCATCTTGTGATACAAATGCCTATTGTTCCACTGAAAGGCAAAGGGCAGAAGCATAAGAACACTGTGATATTCTTGAGAGAGAAAACAAAATCTGTGTCTCAAAAGACTGAGTACAAGAAAATACTACTTGGCTGAACAGTTTATAAATTCACCATTATGTATTAATAATATATATTAATAATATTAGATTGTAAGGACAATTTTTGAAGTTCTTTATAGAAATTTTTCTATCCTGGCAGTGTGGTAGACTGAGCAAATATGTACATTTTAACTTCTATAAATGCACAAGGTGAATAAAATACCAAAGAAAGAAATATAATACAGCTGGAAAGAAACAAAGGAGAATCCTTAGGTGTTAGAAACTGAGTGCCTCTTGGTGAAAATTTATGGAGGAGTTACCCTATTTCTGATCCAAAGAACACTGACAATATTGGGGTTTTTATAAGCAAGTGTAATCAATTGTATTTATATTTTGGGGAATTTGACATTTCATACCAAGCTATTAAGTTAGGAGTTGTTTTTATAGGCTGTCACAGAATTAGAGAAAAATAACTTCTTTTCCCTGAACAGTCTTAGCTTTTGAACAGGTTTATAATTTGTCACTTTATAAATTTCTAGGTTTATCATCTGGCACTCTTACTCCTCCTGGGTATAGATGAATTGAGTCTTCCTTGGTTTAAGTATCATAAGGCAGTGTTTTAAAATGAATTTTATAATTTATGTAAAATAAAATTTTGAAAATGTCATTCTTTGATTTTAATTGGCACATGCAAAGCACAAGTTAGTGCATAAATGGAGAGAGAATTTGGATTTTTTATACTTTGTATTTTCAGTGGCATAATTTTTCATTGATGTCTTATCTGATTATTAAGAGGCTATTAAATTACATAGCAATTGTGGAACTCACTCTGAGAATGGAGAGTTATATATCCTGATATTTTTATTGCTTCTTATGCACTGCCCCAGAGTGAGTCTAAGTCACTTTATTTATAGTCCTGATGTATACTTCCTCCTTGGATACTTAGCATTTTTTTTTTTCATATAGATTGATTTCACTGGTCTTGAAAAAATTCTGATTCTCTGTCATCTGTAGTATGGTGTAGTTTAGTCCTAAGGAAGAATGGTAAATTAATTACACAGTATATTTGTCAATGAAAACTACTTCCTAATGTTCTCAAAATAATTTTCAGTTATGTTAAAGAACTGTTCAGTAGTCACCCTGATTCAACAGTTGGTTTAGATGGTCGACTTTCCCCTTGTCACATTTTTGACAAAAGTTGCACGTTTTCTGCCCAAGTATTTAACCTTGCAAGTTTTTTAAATAACAAAATTATTTAACTTATTTGAAAGGCGGAGTTCCAGAGAGAGATGGGGAGGGAGAGAGAGAGAGATCTTCCATCTTTGATGGATGAATGGGAAATAATTTTGAGCAAGAGTATTCCAGATTAAACGTTTAAGTAGTTTGCCAGACATACAAGGGAGCTTCAGGAAATTCATGGAAGAATGGAATTAAAAGATAATATGTGTTTTCCATGAACTTTTTGAAATTCCCTCATCAATGTTAAGACCAGTCAAGTTTCAGTGTTGGCTTAATTGTTCTTTGATTTGGAATAGTGACCACTATTGTCTAATTTTTTCCTCTAATTTTCTTTACTCAAAATCACACACACAAAATAAAAATAGATATAGGAAGACTTAAACTATCATTTTAGAAAAAGTTAGTTTCAAACTTACCTTATATAGTATACACAGATCAATTCCAGATGAATTATAGACTTAAATTTATAAAATTATAAAATTGCTGGAAGAATACTCCAAGTATGTTTCTGAGTTTGAGGTAAGCAAAAAAAGCAGAAGACATGAAGCATTAATTGAAATAGAGAAAATGTAAGTCAGTTAAGCAGCATTAAAATATGGAACTTATTTTCATTAAAAGATTCCTTTGAGAGAGTGAAAAGCTAGGTCACAGAAGAAAATGTTTATATATGTGTGTGTGTGTGTGTGTGTGTGTGTATATATATATATTCTTACTTGGAAGAACTATTACGCATCAATCAGAAAACAGCAATAACCAGATAGGAAAATGAGCAGAAGCCTTGAAATGACATTCAAAACGAGATATTCAGATGGACAACAGACACTAAAATAGGTGCTCCATCTCATACGTAATCAGTGGAATTCAAGTTAAGACTAGGGTGAGATACCAATAGAATATCTCAGAGTTTTAATTATAGAATTTCTATTTTGTAACTTTTTAGTTTCTATTTCTTTGCTAATCCTTTTCTGTTATTCATGGGGAGGATATTGTTTCTTTTATCCTTTAGCATAGTTGCAAAAGCCACTTTAAAATCCTTGTGTACTATTTCCAGTATCTTGGATTATCTTGGGGTCAGTCATTATTGTTTGCCCTTTCTCTTCATTTAGGGATTACACTTTTTGTTTCTTGTCTAGTAATTTTGGAGTATATCATGGACATCGTCAATAATATGTAGCAAGAACTATGGATTCTGTTACATTCTTCTAAAGAAGCTTATTGTTTTAAATCAAGAAATTAACTTGACTGATCTTAAACTTCAAATTCTGTTCCTCTGTGGTGGTGACTGAGCAGCTGAATTGTATGTTCAGTTGTTTTTAGCAGCTGTTTGAAAGACTCCATTACATGCTCCATGCTCGCATAAATCAGGACCAGCCAGACATTCAGACTGAGTTGGTAGGCAGGTCCCTCTTTTACTCTTCTTGTGATTTCCTTGTATGCTTTCCAAGTACTGTGTTCACTTCAAATACTGTCCTGTGGTCCTGAAGCCAGGAAGACTATAGGTTTTCAGTATTTTTATTACTTTTTGTGGCACTAGCTGGGCTTTCCTTCTGGCTGAAACCTGTTTAAAAAGCAAAACCAAGGGTGGAGGTCAGCACTGTGGTGTAGTAGGTTAAGCTGCTTCCTGCGATGCCAGCATCTGCTGTGGGCACCAATTCGAGTCCTGGCTGCTCCACTTCCAATCCAGCTGTCTGGTAATGAGCCTGGTAAAACAGTGGAAGATGGTCTACATCTGTGGGCCCTTGCACCCATGTGGGAGACCCGGATGAAGCTCCTGACTCCTGGATTCTTCCTGGCTCAGCCCTGGCCTTGTGGCTATTTAGGGAATGAACCAGCGGTTAGAAGATCTCTCTCTCTGCCTCTCTCTGTAATCCTGCCTTTCAGATAAAGTAACTAGATCTTAAAAAACAAACAAACAAACAAACAAGGAATACCATTTAGTGTAGTGGTTAAGCTGCTGCCTGGAGTGCTTGCATCTCATGTTGGAGTGCTTGGTTTTGAATCCTGGCTGCACTCTCCATTCTAACGGGTTGGGTCCTTGCCACCCACATGAGACCTGGATTGAGTTCCTGGCTTTTGGTTTCAGTCTGGCTCATCCCCAGCTGTTGTGGGCATTTGAGAAATGAACCAATAGTTTGGAGATCTCTTTCTTCCTCTTTGTTTCCCTCCTTCTCTCTCTCTCCACTGTTTCCCTTTCTCCCTCACTCTCTCTTCTTCTGTCTCTGCCTTTCAAATAAATAAAATTAATAATAATAATAATAACTGAAAAGAACAAAACTGGATACTCACAGTGGTTTTTCCTTAACTTCCATTATTGTTTGCTGGCTTTTGGTCTCTCTATAGTGCCTTAAGATAGTTGGGTTTTGTTTGTTTTGATTTGATTTTGTGTAAAGTTTACAGTTATACTTGTATGTGGGAGGGTTGGTTTAATAGGAGCTGCTTAGCTATTACCAGAAGTAGAACTGCACTCTTAAATTTAAATGAAGAGAAATGAAGAGACTTTGCTCTAATATTTTACCCTCTTTGTATCTTAGGTATCCTCTTAGTGGCATGGTTTTACCAACTCTTAGAGAATGGATCCAAAATACCCTTGGAGTAACTCTGGAGCATAAAACTACCTCTAAAGTAAGCAAACAAGAATGATTACAAACAAGCTTACGTGTGTTTTTTAATACCAAATTAATCTTTATAATTTATTATATTTGCTTTAATGCAGTTGTCTTTTTTGTTAGGCAAACTTGATAACCACTACACTATGGAATCAGACAGCTTGCAATTGTCTTTTTTGTAAAAATATGAAACCTATTAGTTATATTGTCCTGGTTATGGTTTTTAGGGGCAATTTTTTAGGGCCACAGTTCTAGATCCTAATCTTAGAATTTATCTGGCAAACTTTTTATCCACTCTGAGCCTTGGTTGTTTTAATTTGAGAAACAAATTAATTTTCTTTACTGAAGAACTTCTTGTTCTTTGTCTCACAGAGTAATGGTGAAGTGAAAATTAGTTAATTCTGTGGAGAGCAATTTGTTTAGTAGACTGACAGGAATCTAGGATTAATTATAGAATAATCTAAAATAAAAAGGTAATGTTATGTTTAATGTTAAAATGTTTAGAACATTTAAATAGGTTCATGTTGTTTTGCTGTTCTGAAAGTGGGATTAGGAAACTTTAAACTGTATATATGAAACTAATGAAATATTTAGCATTTTAAAGTGCTTTTTAAAAATTTTTACCATTAATTGCATTAGCATGGTGATCTGCATGTCTCTCTGAGTGTAAGCTCCATAATACAGGGATTGTGTGTTGTGTTGTATTCTCCATGTAATCCAATATATTACAAAGAGATGCAGGCATTCACGGAGTACTTGTTAGATTCACTTATGGAGCTACAGTTATTTTATTCTGGTAAATAAATTAGGCTGAACAACTACTTCCTTACTCTTTCTAAACTATGCTTTTAACTTCTCTTACAGGTCTCTTTTGTTACCTTAAATTCTTTCACTCTCTTGACTATTTGTAATGACCTTTTTTGGACACTGATACAGTCAACATGCTGTATCCAGAAATTTCATCAATTTTAGATGTACGCCTTTTATCTTTTCAATTTTTAAAATATATTTATTTGTGAGGCAGAGAGATAGAGAACGAGACAGAGAGAGGGAGAGAGACGGAGAGAAATATCTCCCATGCACTAGTTCACTCCCCCAATGCCCACGACAGGTAGAATTGAACCAGACCAAAGCTGTTGAACTGGGAACTCAACACAGGTCTCCCAGATGATACCTAGGGCATCATCTGCTGCCTCCCAAGGTCCTTATTAGCAGGAAATTGTAATTAGCAGCAGAGTTGGGACTTGAACCCAGGCATTCTGGTTTTGGATGTGGGAATACCAAGCAGCATTTTAACTACTGTGCCAAATGCCTGCTTTGAGCCCTTTTCAGTTTTTAATAGCTTAAATATTAATTGATATGTTTCATTAGAGTTTTTTTTAGTCATTTCTTTGTACTATAGGATAAATTTCATGAAGTCAAGATTCTTTCTTCTGTCTGACTCACCACTGTGTCCCCAGTGCTTGTACAATCACTCAGTAAATATGTATGATACAAATGAATAAGAGCATATACAAGTCATATATTTTTCTTTATACATTCTTACACTTTGTTTTTTCTCAAATACTGTGTCATAGCTCTTTTTGTTCATAGCACGTTTGATTTGGCCAGCCATTTATAAACTTCTGCTTATATGCTAGGCATATTAGATACTTTTGAGAAGAAGTATCACATTTAACTTGTCTTCATTACAGCAACCCTATACATTTGGTGGCAGTAACCTCATGTAATTGACTAAGAAACTAGGGCTCATGGGAGTTGGGTGACATGTCCAGTGTCACAGTTTTAACTGTGCAGTTGAAGATGAGATTTTATGTTGCCTGTTAATTGAAGTTGACAAACAAGTTTATGATTAATTATGTCATGAGTTTTAAAGCAGCCCTATAAAAAAGGGCTTATTATTGTGAAGCTTTCTGTTGATCATTTTAAAAGAGTAACTGAAGAACAGGAAATACTAAATTTAAGTGCAGATAAAGATTTAGATAATGCACAAGTCAAGGAGCTCTTCCCCAGTCTCCTTAACATAAAGTTGAAGATTGGAGACTGCTTTCTTCCCTCTTCTTATTGTAATCTTTAGAAATAAGGAAAAAGTGGGCCCTAGAAGCAGAGAAAACATTGGGCTTTTGTAATTTATGATATAAACTCTGATTAATAAGGCTACTTGTAATTTGCATATTCACAAAATTGGTTTATGGTTTATTGGTTTATTATCTGGCATTTTCCTATGTTTTTATCTTGAGATTAAAACAAATCTGTATTTTAAAGTCATTCTCTCTGAGGTATTCAAAATTTATTTTCTAAAAGTAAATCAAAGATTTCAATTCTGTTTTTTTAGGCATCTTTAAATCCTAGTGATACACCTCCTTCTATTGTAAATGAAGATTTTCTTCATGAACTTAAAGAAACCAATATTTCATATTCACAGGAAGCAGAAGATCGAGTATTTAGAGCTCATGGTAAGCTACTTTATATTAATACTTTTTATTTTTAATTATATAAATTTTCTATAGTTTAAGATGTTTTTACATTTTTCTCTTTTAAATCACAAAACAGGTCATTGTCTTCATGAGATATTTTTGCTCAGGGAAGGAATGTTTCAGCGAATTCCTGATATAGTTTTATGGCCAAGTAAGTTTTTTTCTTCTTTTTATCATCAATTCAGTATTGTTAAATCTTAAATAAATTTAGTGGTTGAAAAGATACTTCTTAACGTGAGTTGTAAAAAATATAAATAGCTATATTTTAAGAGTTTATTAAAAGCCGGCGCCGTGGCTCAATAGGCTAATCCTCCACCTTGCGGCGCCGGCACACCGGGTTCTAGTCCCGGTTGGGGCGCCGGATTCTGTCCCGGTTGCCCCTCTTCCAGGCCAGCTCTCTGCTATGGCCAGGGAGTGCAGTGGAGGATGGCCCAGGTGCTTGGGCCCTGCACCCCATGGGAGACCAGGAAAAGCAACTGGCTCCCTTGCCCTTTCCGGTATAACACGGTGGCGCGGGCTACAGCGGCGGCCATTGGGGGGTGAACCACCGGCAAAGAAAGACCTTTCTCTCTCTGTCTCTCTCTCTCACTGTCACTCTGCCTGTCTTAAAAAAAAAAAAAAAAAAAAAAAAAAAAAAAAAAAAAAAGAGTTTATTAAAGGTCATGAAGTCCTTTTTTCTTTTTATTTTTTTGAGAGGCAGAGAGCAGAGAGAGAAAGAAAAAAAGATAGACAGGTGCCACCATCCATTATTTCACTCCATAAATGCCTACAGCAGCTGGGTCTGGGCCAGGAGGAAGCTGAAAGTTGGGAATTCAATCCAAGTCTTCCACATGAATGGCAGGGCCTCTGCTACTGGAGCCATCACCTGCTGCCCCTCAGAATGTGCATTAGCAGAAAGCTGGAATCAGAAACAGAGCTGGCACTCAAACCCGATCCCGTATGGCATTCACGCATCTTACCTGCCATCTTAACTGCTGGGTCACATGCCTACCCTTTTCGTCTTCTCTTGATCTGATCATACTTAACTGTTTTTTTTTTTTTCTTTTTTAAGATTTATTTATTTATTTGAGAGGCAGAGTTATAGACAGAGAGAGGGAGATACAAAGAAGTCTTCCATCTACTGATTTACTCCCCAAATAGTCGCAACAGCCAGAGCTGAAGCCTGGAGCCAGGTGCTTTGTCCAGGTCTCCCACAAAGGTGCAGAGGCCCAAGCACTTGGGTAATATTCCGCTGCTTTCACAGGCACATTAACAAGAGCTTGATGGAAGTAGAGCAGCTGGAACTCAAACCAGTGCTATAGGTGGAGGCTTAACCTACCACACCACAGCTCCAGCCTCTGAACTGTTGGTTTTAACGATTGATTTTGTTGATGATTGAGTCTTCATTTTAAATGTAAATGATCATATTGGGAGCTTAGTAGAAAAATCTATTTTTGGTTAATTTGGAAGCTTAAATAAATTATTATCAACCAGTGATATATTTGGATATTTTGAAACTTAATTAAAATAATTGATAACTGCAAGCTAATAATAGTAGCTTGTTGAAATCAGCTTGTAGGGTAAAAACATTTTAAATTTGTATGTATGCCTTTGAAATGAATTAAGTGTTTTTTTGTTTTTTTTTTTTTTGTTTGTTTGTTTTTTTTTTGACAGGCAGAGTGGATAGAGAGAGAGACAGAGAGAAAGGTCTTCCTTTGCCGTTGGTTCACCCTCCAATGGCCGCCATGGCTGGCGCGCTGCGGCCGGCGCACCGCGCTGATCCGAAGGCAGGAGCCAGGTGCTTATCCTGGTCTCCCATGGGGTGCAGGGCCCAAGCACTTGGGCCATCCTCCCCTGCACTCCCGGGCCACAGCAGAGAGCTGGCCTGAAAGAGGGGCAACCGGGACAGAATCCGGCACCCCGACCGGGACTAGAACCTGGTGTGCCGGCGCTGCTAGGTGGAGGATTAGCCTATTGAGCCGCGGCACCGGCCAAAATGAATTAAGTTTTGAGAAGTCATTTGGATTTGGTTTGGGATGAATTTTCTCTTGTTATTTTGCTTTTTGTGAGGGTTAGGTACTATATTTATATAAATGGTTTTTTACTCATCTCTTTTAGCAGATACTTTAAAGCAGGACATATAATAATTTATATATAATAATATATGATAATATATATTAATAATATATAATAATTTGTTGTACATAACTGTGGTTTTTTTAGCTTTTATTTTTTAGCTTTTATTTAATAAATAGAAATTTCATAGGTAGAGCTTTAAGAATTTAGCAGTTCTTCCCCCCATTCCCGCCCTCCCATCCCGACTCCCATCTTACCTCCTACTCCCTCTCCCATTCCTTCAGTAAGATTAATTTTATATTTTTATTTTTTATTTATTTATTTTTTGACAGGCAGAGTGGACAGTGAGAGAGAGAGACAGAGAGAAAGGTCTTCCTTTACCGTTGGTTCACTCTCCAATGGCCACTGCGGCCGGTGCGCCGCACAGATCTGAAGCCAGGAGCCAAGTGCTTCTCCTGGTCTCCCATGTGGATGCAGGGCCCAAGGACCTGGGCCATCCTCCACTGCACTCCCGGGCCACAGCAGAGAGCTGGCCTGGAAGAGGAGCAACCGGGACAGAATCCGGCGCCCCAACTGGGACTAGAACTCGGTGTGCTGGCGCCACAGGTGGAAGATTAGCCTATTGAGCAGCGGCACTGGCCAAGATTCATTTTAATTATCTTTATATATAGAAGGCCAACTCTAAGTAAAGATTTCAACATTTTGCACCCACACAGACACACAAAGTGTGTTTGAAGACCAGTTTTACCATTAATTCTCATAGTACAATTCATTAAGGACAGAGGTCCTACACTGCTTTTCCTAAGTGCATTGGAATTGGAGCAGCTGGGACTCTATAACGGGTGCCCATGTGGCATGCCAGCATTGCAGGCGGAGGCTTTACCTGCTGTGCCATAGTGCCGGTCCCCACCTTAGCTGTGTCTTGAGAAGACCTTTCAAGTGTGCTTTCTAGATATTTTCTTCATGTGTTTGACTATTAAAAAACTGAGAAAATATCAGAGTGCAAGTATGTACCTTGCTTCAACATATCCAAATATTTTTAAAAGCCCAGGTTTAGGAAACAGATGGAGTTACTTAGTACACAAAGGTTTTCTTGCTTTGTAAAATACTTCTCATTTGATTTATTCCCTCATAGTTCTGCCCTTCCTTCCTTTCTTTTTTAAAATTTCTATTCTTTTTAAAATTTTTAAAAAATATATTTATTTATTTGTTTGAAAGGTGGAGTTACAGAGGCTGAGAGAGAGAGGTCTTCCATCCACTGGTTCACTTCCTAGCTGCCTGCAATGGCCGGAACTGAGCCAGTCTGAAGCCAGGAGCCTGTACTTCTGGCAGGGATGCAGGGGCCCAAAGACTTGGGCCATCTTCTACTACTTTCCCAGGCTATAGCAGGGGGCTGGATTGGAAGTAGAGCAGCCAGCACTTCAACTGGTGGCCATATGACATGCTGGCATTGCAGGTGGAGGCTTTACCTGCTACGCCACAGCACTGGCCCCTAAAATTTCTATTCTGATTTCCTCTTTAGTCACTTACCAATGCCTATGTGGGTTTTTGTAGCCTTAAAGATTTTCATGCCTTCAAGTTTGTTGTCTCCCCAGTCTTCCTATACTCTCTTGAGGGGTTAGTTTTTGTAAAATGGAGTAACTGTCTTCAGGGGTTAGTTATATGAGTGAGGTATCCTGGTTGGAGTAAGGACTTATAAGACATGTGTCTTCCCTGATTTGGAGTCTTCTAAGTCCATTCCAAGCAGGATATGTCACCTTTGTGACCTTTACACAGTGTGTCTATCTGTGCCTTTCATTTAGTTTGGATAAGTGGTCATTCATACAATACATTGTTATTGATAGTAGGTATAGTTATAAAACTGTAATTTTTATATGGCATTAACATATTTTGAAAATTGTTTCACTTACTAAATTTAGTATGTATGAATTATTTTCAGTAGCTTAAATACTAGAAACTTAGGTCTGTGGAAATACAGACTTGGTACTGGTTAATGCTGAGGCTGAGCAGTGACCAAAGCAGAAATCCCTGTTCTGGGTACCCTAAGATCTAGTGAGGGGTGTGGGGAGCCACATGATAAAAATATATATTTCATACTGGACAGTCTTAAATGGTATGAAGAAAAAGCATATAAGAGGGTAGAGTGAGAAAGGGTAGATGGTGAGATAGATGTGTACTGTTTTAGATAATGTCAGTGACTTTCTTAGAAGGTAGTTTTGCCTTGCTAAAGTTTTTGAACAGCCATATTCATGTGTTTTATTAATTTTTACTTATCTAGTATTCCATTTAGTAAAAAATTTTGCCACAAATGGTAGGCTCTGTAAGCTTAATCTGAAACCTTGAAAATGAATTTTCATTACAAATTGGAATGACAATGACATGTATTCTTAGCATTAAATAAACCTGAGAAATCATAATTACAACTTTTATAGAACAATACTTTCACTTTTATAAATGAATATACATTTGTCTATTTTCCTGAGCATCCTTATTTCCTTTTCAAGATCTTAGTAATTAATATTAGATACTTAGGGGCCAGGTAAAGCCACCGTCTGCTACACCAACATGCCATATGGCCACCAGTTTGAGACCTGACTGCTCCACTTCTGATCTAGTTCCTTGCTAATGTGTCTGATAAAGCAGCAGAGGATGATCAAGTGTTTGGGCCACTGCACACATGTAGGCAACCTGGAAAACGCTCCTGACCCCTGGCTTCAGCCTGGCTCAAACCCGGCTGTTGTAACCATTTCAGGAGTGTGCTAGTGGATGGAAGATCTATCTCTCTTTCTGTGTTTCTTTTTTTCTAACTCTGACTTTCAAATCAGTCAAATCAAATAAATCAAATCTTTTTTTTTTTTTTTTTTGACAGAGTGGACAGTGAGAGAGAGACAGAGAGAAAGGTCTTCCTTTGCCGTTGGTTCACCCTCCAATGGCCACTCCGGCTGGCACGCTGCGGCCAGTGCACCGCACTGATCCGAAGGCAGGAGCCAGGTGCTTATCCTGGTCTCCCATGGGGTGCAGGGCCCAAGGACTTGGGCCATCCTCCACTGCACTCCCTGGCCACAGCAGAGAGCTGGCCTGGAAGAGGGGCAACCGGGACAGAATCCGGTGCCCCGACTGGGACTAGAACCCGGTGTGCCAGTGCCGCAGGCGGAGTATTAGCCTATTGAGCCGCGGTGCCGGCCAATCAATCAATCTTTTTAAAAATTTAGAAATTTGCCTAGGTTCCATGCTTCAAGTCTCTCTCCTGCATGCCATCTTATACTCTGTCAGGAGATCTTTCTGAAATAATCTCTTTGCCATGTTTTTCCCCTCCCTAAAGACCTCCTCCAATGTCCCATTGGCAATCAAATTGAGTCTTAGCACCACTTGTTTGGCATTTGAGACCATCACAGCCAGGTTTTTGTTACTTACATAACTTTTGTATTGATAACGGAACCTTTCAGTTATGTATAATAAAAAGGAATTCATGTGCAGTAAAGGTTGTAGAACATTTTAATATTTATTTAACAACAAAATAAAGATTTACCATGGTGCTAAAATTAGTGGGTGAAAGTATGATGAGAAATGATGTTTACATAGTCTAAGTGTCTCTCACAAGACACTGATTTTTTTTTTTTAAAGATTTATTTTATTTATTCAAAAGGCAGAGTTACAGGGAGAGGTAGAGACAGAGAGAGAGGTCTTCCATCCGCTGGTTCACTCCCCAGATGGCCGCAATGGCCAGAGCTGCGCCGATCCGAAGCCAGGAGCCAGGAACTTCTTCTGGGTCTCTCACACGGGTGCGGGGACCCAAGGACTTGGGCTATCTTCTACTGCTTTCCCAGGCCACAGCAGAGATCTGGATTGGAAGGAGCAGCCGAGACTAGAACCGGCGCCCATATGGGATGCCGGCCCTTTAGGCCAGGGGCGTTAACCAGCTGCGCCACAGCGCTGGCCCCACAAGACACTGATTTCAACAGGAAACATCATGGAGGGACCTAATAGACACCCCTTAACAACATGATGGATGTTAATATTACCAGAAATGAGACATACCTACATCATGTGCTTCCAGATATAATGCATTGAGAAAGGCACAGTATTTTCCCTGTGAAGTTACCACTAGAATGTTTAACCTGAATTTACTCATGAGGAAACACACAAAAACCAAAACTGAGAAACATTCTATGAAATAACTGACCAGTGTTGTTTAAAAATATCATGATTATGAAAGGTAAAAGTAGACTGGGGAAATGTCTGTCTTCAAAGAAGATGCAAGACTTGATAACCAAATGTAGTGTGTGAACCTGGATTTTTTCCTGGACTGGAAAAAGGACATTAGTGAGACAATGGTAAAATTTGAATAAGGTTTGTAGGTTAATTGATTGTCTTAGATCATTGTTGATTGCTTGGTTTTGCTAATTGGACTATAGTTAGGTAAGATATTACTTGGAGGTGTAGAGTGCAAGAAATTCTTAGTATTATTTTTGTGACTTTTTTGTAAGTTTGAAATTCAAAATGGCAAGTTTTAAAGAAATTACTTTCATGTTGGTGTTTCATGTATTAATGATTGAATAAATGAAGTTTTAGACATTGAATAACTTTATAGACACTTATTTTGCAGTTACCCAGATTTTATTCATGTCCCTGTGATTAACTTATTCTCCCTTTTTTTTGACAGCATGTCATGATGATGTAGTTAAGATTGTGAATCTAGCGTGCAAATATAACCTTTGTATCATACCAATTGGTGGTAGGTATTATGTCTTTTGAATTTTCATATGATATAAATTTATTCTTTCCATTTAAAATATTTTAAATATTTGTGTCATCCCAATGAGAATAGACATCTTTGTAAGAATGGTTGTGGTACTCCTGAATCTGTTCTAAGTCTACCTAGACTGTTTGATACATAGAGTACCCTTAGCATAGGTTTTTCTCCAGTTGGATCCTAGTTGAAGTTGTATTTTAATTCCTAAATAAAAAAATACATTCCTACTTTAGTCATTTTTTTAAAGATTTATTTATTTTATTTGAAAGTCAGAGTTACACAGAGAGAGGAGAGGCAGAGAGAGAGAGAGAGAGAGAGAGAGAGATCTTCATGGAATGGTTCACTCCCCAGTTGGCTGCAATGGCCGGAGTTGCGCCGATCTGAAGCCAGGAGCCAGAGCTTCTTTCGGGTCTCCCATGTGGGTACAGGAGCCCAAGGACTTGGGCCATCTTTCACTGCTTTCCCAGGCCACAGCAGAGAGCTGGATCGGAAATGGAGCAGCCGGGACTAGAACTGGTGCCCATATGGGATGCTGGCACTTCAGATCAGGGTGTTAACCCGCTGCGCCACAGTGCCGGCCCCTAGTCATTACTTCTGACATGTATGTTTATGGAGATAATTAGATCACTATCAATTAAGAGATCAATCAGTACAGTGATGGCCAAATTAATAATATCTTTTGTTTTAAAGATTTATTTATTTATTTGAAAGTCAGAGTTGCTGAGAGGCAGAGGCAGAGAGAGAGAGAGCTCTTCCATCTGCTGGTTCACTCCCCAGATGGCCGCAATGGCTGGAGCTGAGCCGACCTGAAGTCAGGAGCCAGGAATTCCTTCTTAGTCACCCACTGCTTTCCTGGGGCCATAGTAGAGAGCTAGATTGGAAGAGGAACAGCTGGGACTAGAACTGGTGCCCATATGGGATGCCAGTGCCCCAGGCAGAGGATTAATCTGCACCACAGCACTGGTCCCCAGTAGTCTCTTTTAATACAGATATGAGCATGTTTTGCATTGAGACAAATTTGATCTCTGGAGATCTTTTATTGGCTGCATTATTTTAACAACATACATAATAAGCCAAAGAAAGTTACCTTGACCAGACTGCCATTGATGGAATGGAATGGGGTCCCCAGCAATTCCAGAAGCTCTAGATGATCTCTTCAGCTGACACTTCCTGTGAATTCATGCGACAAAGGCATTGCATTGCCACTTACTATGAAATATTTTTCTGATTTCAGATGCCTATGATAAACAGTGATTACTGACCACAGGCATCATGTTCTTAGACAGCTCATGGTTTTACCTCATTAACTTAAACTGAACCTGACAGATCAACACACTCTGTTCTTGTAGAAGATAATTTCTACCTGTTTACTTCCATGCAAAATGTATAGAAGTACATTTTTTAGTGTATACTGGAATTATACAGATCTGGCTAAGAACTAAGAATATTGTGTTATTCTTTATTGTCAAGAAAGTATTTTCCTTTGACAGCAGGGATAAGAGAAAAACGCAGTATACTTTTTAGGAATTCTATGTAGTATTTGTTCTATATTAAAATCATTTTCACCAATAAACATAAGTGATTTTTAAATATTGCATAGTCTGGACATTTTTAACCTGTTTCTATTCTAATTTGTATTTTGTATAAGCTTATTAAGATATTATTTTAAATGATAAATGATTCTCATAATTATGATAGAAAGGAGGTAATGGTGTCTCTAGGATGAATCTTAGTAATCAGTAGCTTAGAACTTTTCTAATCATGTTTTTGGAGTTCACAAATTGCTAGGGGCTTTACTTGAGTGTGTATGTCCAAGGAATGGAGCCATATCCCGTTGCTTTCAGTTCCATAATATTGCTTCATTTTGGCACACAGCATAAAATAAAGGTGTTTGGTTTTTAGTGTGTTAACTTTTTTTTAAAGATTTATTTATTTATTTGAAAGTCAAAGTTACACAGAGAGAGAGAGAGGTCTTACTTCCGTTGGTTCACTCCCCAGATGGCCCCAAAGGCCAGAGCTGCGCCGATCGGAAGCCCGGAGCCAGGAGCTTCTTCCAGGTTTCCCATGTGGGTGCAGGGACCCAAGGACTTGGGCCATCTTTTACTGCTATCCCAGGCTGTAGCAGAGAGCTGGATTGGAAGTGGAGCAGCTGGGTCTTGAACTGGCGCCCATATGGGATGCTGGTGCTTTAGACTAGGGCGTTAACCCACTGTGCCACAGCACGGGCCCTGTGTGTTAGCATTTGCAAATGGCATTTTGCAAACTAGAACTAGGTATCACTTTTTTTTTATTTTTTAAGATTTATTTATTTACATGAAAGAGTTACACAGAGAGAGAAGGAGAGGCGGAGAAGAGAGAGGGATGTCTTCCCTCCGGTGGTTCACTCCACAGATGGCCGCAACAGCTGGAGCTGCGCCAATCCGAAGCCAGGAGCTTTCTCTGGGTCTCCCACATGGGTGCAGGGGCCCAAGGACATGTGCCATCTTCCACTGCTTTCCCAGGCCATAGCAGAGAGCTGGATTGGAAGTGGTGCAGCCAGGACTTGAACCGGTGCCCATATGGGATGCCGGCACTACAGGTGGCAGTTTTACCCACTATGCCATAATGCCGGCCCCAGTATCACTTTCTTATTGGGCCTCTCTGTATACTGTGTAGTAAGAATTTGCCCTAGAAATGCAGTTGAAACTATTTTAAAATAATTTTAAACTTCAGCTTGTTTTCTATTTTGGCAGGAGGAACAAGTGTTTCATATGGCCTGATGTGTCCTGCGGATGAGACACGAACAATTATTTCTTTGGACACTTCACAAATGGTATATGATAATTTAAGATGTATTTGAAAGTAGCTTCTATTTAAATATTTCTATGGCTCATCCTTAGTTGTCACTTAAAAAAGATCTGTTACCCATTTTATTTAAATGTATTTCATCTTTATATTTTACTCTTCTGGTATACAAAAGCTAAAATCACTGTTGTTCTTAAGTATGTATTTTGATGCTGTTTCTATGAAATTGATATATGAAATTCATATTTTGAGAAGCACGAGTTGGAATAGGAACATGCTACATGACTTGATTTGTGTCATTCAAAAAGAACACATGATATAAATTAAGGTTAATTTGAATCATCAAAGCTTACTTGTCCCCCAAATTTATATTAAAGCTGTTGCATTTTTTGTGCACATGAATAAAAGCACCAGCTAATGTTAACAATAGGATTACTTTCTGAAGTTCTGGCCCAAGTTCTGGTGATCCAAGAATTGGCCATTGTGCCATGTTAAGGTTTTAATTTGATTTGAACTTTATCTTCATACAAGTCAAGAAAATTCCTGGTTACATATTCCTATATTATAATAAAAATGATTTAAAATCTTTTTAATTTGAAATTTTTCTTTTTTTGCACAAGAGCTTTATTCATGATTATAGAAAAATGGAAATAGCTCATGGTCCATCAGTTGTTCACTTAACATCAGTTGTTCACCTAACAGGTCGTGAATTAAGCTGTGATGTATTCATACCATGGAATACTACTCATCAGTGAGCAAAGAGCTGCTACACATGTATGACTCTCAAAACATGCTGAGTAAAAGAAACATACACAAGATTACCTACTATGAATCCATTTATATGGAGTTCTAGAGTAGGTAAAACTAAACTTTGGTGAACAAAATTCTAACAGTGGTTCCCTGTAGAGGAAGGGAAGAAATCTGATACGATGGAAATATTCTGTAGCTTGCTAGGGATTTGGTTTATGTAGGTATACATCAAAATTTAACAAACAGTACACTTAACATTTGTGCATGTTATTGGATGCTTTTCTTGTAGAAAAAACTCATGACACATACAAGGGGTCTTCTAAAAGTTTATGGAAAATATGTATTATGAAAAAACTGTGGATTTCTAAATTTTTCACATCAAAACAAATTTCCCTGTTAATTCCATTTTCCCTCAAACGTTTTTAGTCCCCTTGTATGTTGAAAAGCTTACGAGTCAAGTATAGAGGTCTGCAACTTACTTTGATATGAGTAAAGATGAAAGATTGATGAACAGGTATGTGATAAAGAATGGTAAAATATAGAATCTAAGTGGTGAGTAAAGGCATGTTGCTAGTGTGCTTAGAACTTTGCATCAAAAAAATGTTGCAGTGAAAAACAGTCATGGAACACAATTGCAGGGTGTGGACTATTTGATATTTTTCAAACACCAAAGTAGAGAATGCTATACCTCTTCTTTAGACTTAAGTAGTTATTAATATTTGTCATACTTGTATAATCTTTTTTCTCTAGTATTTTTTTAAAGATTTATTTATTTATTTGAAAGAGTTACACAGAGAGAGAGGAGAGGGAGGGAGGGAAAGGAAGGGAGGAAAAGAGGTCTTCCATCTGATGGTTCACTTCTCAGTTGGCTGCAATGGCTGGAGCTGTGCCAATCCGAAGCCAGGAGCTTCTTCCAGATCTCCCACATGGGTGCAGGGGCCCAAGCACTTGGGCCATCTTCTACTGCTTTCCCAGGCCACAGCAGAGAGCTGGATTGGAAGTGGAGCAGCCGGGTCTCTAACCAGCATCCATACGGGACGCTTCAGGCCAGGGCGTTAACCTACTGCACCACAGTGCCAGCCCCTTTCTCTAGTATTTTTAAAGCAAATCTGGTAGTTTGTTACTTTACAGCTATCTGTTTAAAATAGGACATTTTCTCAAGTAACTAATATGTTATCACTCCTGGCAAAATCAAAAATAATTCCTGAAATTACATAATATTCAGTCCGTGTTCAATTTTTCACTGATCTCAAAAATGTCTTTATTTTATTGTTCATTTGTTCAAATGGGGATCCAGATAAGGTTAATGTTAGCTTTTGGTTATTTCCCTTAAGTCTCACTTTATCTAGAAGCTTCTTCTTCCTCCCTATTTTTTGAATGCTGTTGGCTTTTGAAGAAACTAGGTTATTTGTAGTGTAGAATGTCACATTTTGAATTTGTTTCCTCTTCTTGGTGTCATATAACTCTTCCTCTAGTATATAGGAATTAGATTAATTAGATTCATGTATAGCTTTTTTTTTTTTTTAAGCAAGACTGTCTTCTCTGGTGATTTGTTTTTTCCTCTTAGAAGTTTTGTTTTTAATTGACACAATGATTGTATCTGTTTATGGGGTACAGTGTGATGTTTTGATATATGTATACATTGTATTGTGCAATGATTTCATTGCTCTGTATTATGGTTTTGTTATTTTTTTTTTTTTTTTGAGTGTCACATAACATCAGGTGAGGTGGTACAGATTAGCTGGTTGTCCTGGTTTTAGTATTGCTAAAATGATGAGCAAGTTCACATAATGATTTCCTGATTACTTTACGATGAAGTTCCTCTTCAACCTTTCTCCTATTCTATTGTTTAAGAAAAGGCAGTTTCCTCAGGAGACAGTAGAAGGATTGTATGGAATAGACTTTGGAATGTAAATGAATTTCTGGCTCTTTATCTTACTATGTGCAAATTTACCTTTAAATCTGTTACTGAATGTGTAAAACAGAGACAGTAATACTGCAGGATGGTATTGTGAAAACTAAGTTAAATATCTTAACATTGAGCAAATGTATAAAAATTTTTTAAAATTATTTTTAATATAAAAGAACCAAGTTCCTGTAGTTGATGGATAAAATAATAAGAATATGATACCTACTTCCCTCCCTCCCCCTTCCTTTCTTCCTTTTATAATTTTTGTGATAACATATTTTTAATTTACTTTGTATTCACAGGCTTAATGTTCCACTAAACAGTCTAACAAGTGAAAAGTAGAAAAACCACTCAGAAATTTAGACAAAGGCTATAAATAATTAGATTTTTATACTCTATATTAGCTATCACAAATCAGAAAACCTGTGATATGTGTCTTCAGTTCTGGCTTATTTCACTAAGCATAATGGTTTCCATTTGCATCCATTTTGTTGAAAAGACAGGATTCCATTCTTTATGACTGAGTAGCATGCCATTGTGTATATATTTATATACACATCACATTTTCATTATCCTGTCACTAGCTAATGGACATCTAGGTTGATTCTTAAATCTTAGCTATTATGAGTTAAGCTGTTAAAAACATGGGGGTCCAAGTAACTCATATACTGATTTCATGTCCTTTGGGTATATGCTCAGAAGTGGGATGGCTGGGTCACATGATAGATCTGTTTCAAATTTCTGAGGAACCTCTATGTTGTCTTCTATAGTGGTTATACCAGTTTACATTTCTTCTAACCATATATATTTTTTTTATTTTTTATTTTTTTTATTTTTTGACAGGCAGAGTGGACAGTGAGAGAGAGAGAGAGAGAGGGAAAGGTCTTCCTTTGCCGTTGGTTCACCCTCCAATGGCCGCCATGGCCGGCACGCTGCGGCCGGCGCACCGCGCTGATCCGATGGCAGGAGCCAAGAGCCAGGAGCCAGGTGCTTTTCCTGGTCCCCATGGGGTGCAGGGCCCAAGCACCTGGGCCATCCTCCACTGCACACCCGGGCCACAGCAGAGAGCTGGCCTGGAAGAGGGGCAACCGGGACAGAATCCGGCGCCCCGACCGGGACTAGAACCCGGTGTGCCGGCGCCGCTAGGTGGAGGATTAGCCTAGTGAGCCGCGGCGCCAGCCTTCTAACCATATATTTTTTAGAGTATCTTTTTCTCTACATCCTTGCCAGCATTTTTTATTTTTGGATGATAGCCATTCTAACTGGGATCAGAAGAGGAGCAGCCAGGAACAAAACCTAGGATGCCAGTGCTTCAGACCAGGGTGTTAACCCACTGTGCCACAGCGCCGGCCCTGTGGAGTTTCATTCATATAAAATCTGAATACAGACAAAGTCCGTGTTTTAAATCAATTCTTGGGTACTATACTGCCTTACTACCATCTTTGTCATGCTGTGTAGTGAAACCTAAGTTGAGGTTGTTTCCAATGTGGATGGAGTTTGGAGGGCACCCTGCTTGCTTAAGTACTGTTTTGTCACTGTTGCTTTGAGTTAAGAAATAAGCTTTCCTGAGAAAATGTCAGAAGTTCCTGGAGATCAGACTTTTTTCTTCCTTTGCAACAGAATCGAATCCTTTGGGTTGATGAGAACAACCTGACAGCTCATGTAGAGGCTGGCATAACAGGACAAGAGTTGGAAAGACAGGTATGTTATTTCTTTAAGATTTTTAAATGGCTGTGTCCCTCTGAATGAAGTACCTTTCACAAAACACTTTTCACTCACCTAATCTGTTCAGTTTCTGTTGTAGGTCAGGCATTGAACGAAACGCTAAGGACACAGTAGTGATTGAGACACTACTCTCTACCCTTAGGTAGCTTATATTAAGGCAGAAAGTTAGATACATATTAGAAAATTGGTGATTCAGAGTTAGAAATGCTATATGGAGGCTACATGAGTCATCAGAATGGGCCACATGGGAAGGAATTGAACAAGAAGATATCACAGAAGATGTGATGTTTAAAAATGAGACTTCAGAATGCATCACAGTTAACCAAAACCGGAGATGAGGTGGGAAGAACAGTCAGAGGAAAGAGTGTGTGCAGAGGTATTGCCATAGCTGCTGCTTTTGGGGAACTGCAGATACCTATGAATGGCTGAAGTCTAGTATGGGTGTTGGGAGAATACACATTCTTGTTGTTTTGTACATTGCCCTGGATTGGGCATATTGATGGTAAAGGATGAAGCCAGGAAAGCATGAAGAGTTTAGATCTAAAAGGGCCTTATAAAGTTCCTTGTAGAAGGTTAAATTTTACCTTTATCCTTAGCTAGTTCTTGGCTATGACTGGTGTGTGTTAGGGCCGGTTGACTGCTGCAGTAATTTAGGCAAGGACCGATTGCGATCTGAACTGAAGTACTGGGAGCAGAATGGAACAAACTGGACATGGAACTTTCATGTCTTGGTAAACTACATCAGCCAGGAAAATGTTGGTACTTGTATTTGGTATTTGTTGAACTTTTCAATGTACAATTTCATTAAAAGCTGTTCATCTCCTGAGTTATTGGAGCTCTTGGAGTATTTGTAGCACTTTTTGGGGCTCCTTTTCTTTCTTGAAAATTTATTGAAGTTGGCCTGTTCCTGACCAATTCTGGGTGAAAGATTATGTTTATTTTCTACTTAATGCAGAGAACTGGATAAAGATGAACATATTTGTTGAAGTAGTGTTAAAGACCTGTGGTCAGTCAAGGTTTTATAGAAGTCAGAATAAGGATTTACCTGCTCTGCCACAGCACTGGCCCCTGATATTCAGATTTTTAACCATTCTTCTTTTTTTTTTTTTTTTAAAGATTTATTTATTTATTTGAAAGTCATAGCTACACACAGAGAAAAGGAGAGGCAGAGAGAGCAAGGTCTTCCATCCAATGGTTCACTCCCCAGTTGGCTGCAGTGGCCAGAGCTGGGCTGATCAGGAGCCAGGAGCTTCTTTCAGGTCTCCCACGTAGGTGCAGGGGCCCAAGGACTTGGGCCGTCTTCTACTGCTTTCTCAGGCCATAGCAGAGAGCTAGATTGGAAATAGAGAAGCCGGGACTCGAATTGGTGCCCATATGGGATGCTGGTATTGCAGGTGGCAGCTTTACCCGCTATGCCACAGCACCAGCCCCTAACCCATTACTCTTAATATCATTTACCTAGTAGGAAGTTACATTTTTAACAAGGAAGTAGATTTAAATTAGTGTGGTAGGTAGAGCTCCTTAAGCATAGGAACATTTTTAGATCCTTGTTTTCATTGCTATACACAGTCCTGATACTTGGTAGCTACATGTGTTTTGGAAGAAGTAATGAAATAGCCTACCAGACATAAGAAGCAAATTAGGAGCATACTGGATACAGAATATACTGATAGAAATAATCTAAGTTTGTATTGAAAGATTGACTTCTTTGTAAGTCTCCGATGCAGGTGTAGAGGCCCAAGGACTTGGGCCATTCTCTGCTTTCCCAGGCACGTTAACAGGGAGCTGGATCAGAAGTGGACCAGCTGGGACTTAAACTGGCGCCTATATGGGATGCCAGCACTGCAGGCAGCAGCTTTACCTGCTCTGCCACAGCACTGGCCCCTGATATTCAGATTTTTAACCATTCTTCTTTTTTTTTTTTTTTTTTAAAGATTTATTTATTTATTTGAAAGTCATAGCTACACACAGAGAAAAGGAGAGGCAGAGAGAGCAAGGTCTTCCATCCAATGGTTCACTCCCCAGTTGGCTGCAGTGGCCAGAGCTGGGCTGATCAGGAGCCAGGAGCTTCTTTCAGGTCTCCCACGTAGGTGCAGGGGCCCAAGGACTTGGGCCGTCTTCTACTGCTTTCTCAGGCCATAGCAGAGAGCTAGATTGGAAATAGAGAAGCCGGGACTCGAATTGGTGCCCATATGGGATGCTGGTATTGCAGGTGGCAGCTTTACCCGCTATGCCACAGCACCAGCCCCTAACCCATTACTCTTAATATCATTTACCTAGTAGGAAGTTACATTTTTAACAAGGAAGTAGATTTAAATTAGTGTGGTAGGTAGAGCTCCTTAAGCATAGGAACATTTTTAGATCCTTGTTTTCATTGCTATACACAGTCCTGATACTTGGTAGCTACATGTGTTTTGGAAGAAGTAATGAAATAGCCTACCAGACATAAGAAGCAAATTAGGAGCATACTGGATACAGAATATACTGATAGAAATAATCTAAGTTTGTATTGAAAGATTGACTTCTTTGTAAGTAATGTGGAAGTTTTTTTTGAATCATATGAATATATGAAAATTCCTTCTTCAGTGCCAAATATATCTTGGGACTCAATGTATTTCTGTTTTTCTTCTAAATTCATAAAATTGAGTAGTAGCAGTCTTTTGAGAAGAAATAACATTAGTTTGTTTAGGGATGGAAATAGGACAGAAATACAACCTAACAGTCTGATAGACTTTAGATTGGTTAGCCATGGATTTAAACTACTTATTTGTGAGTGGGTATTAAATTCTTAAAATTAAATATATTGAATATTTAGTGAAAAAAACACTTATTATATAACAATTGATATCTTTCAAATCTTGTTTTCCTAGCAGCAAAATTTGAAAAGAAAAATAACTTGCAGTGATAATGTACAAAAACTAACAAATTATATTTCTTCTAACACACCGTTGAATTTTAGATTACAGCTTTTGTACTGTACTTAAATACACAGATACAAACATAGCTGACATATTCTACATCTCTGCATGGCTTGCTTGAAAAATAGAAGCAGTTGCTTAACTGGATGACTATCAAAATGGTCAACACAGATTGATGGGCTTGAGTGCAGTAGACAGTAGGTATGCAGATGGTGGCGTCTGTACCATTTGACAGGAGATGGCTGGGTCTTTAAAATGATTTCAGTGGGATGGCTTTGGTGTTGTTGCAGTAAAGGGCATCCATTCAACCTCAGGTGCTGTGCAGATGGCAAAGCCAAGCTAATATAGAAAAATGAGAAACAAGTGACTGTTTAATGTACAGGAATGCATGATCTGCATCACAAATAAATGGTGGTATTAAATGCAGGAAACCTAGCCAGATGGCTGTACATTAAAACACATGACTCCTTGAGAGAATTAAGTACAGGCAATTTGCTCGGATTTTCTGCAGGCCTGCTGCATATTATATTAGGGTAGGGAGACCAGGAGATTAAGTACTTTATTTATTGAAAGTGTTTAGGTGAAGTTGGCAGTTATTTAAGCATAATCTGATCTCTCTAGGTATTTTAATTGTTGGTGGGAAAAAAAAATAGAAGAGGGGACGGCAGGCATTAAAACAAAAAGATGTAACAAGTAAAATTGTCTAGTGAACCTGAGGAAAATACAATTGTGTTTTGGCCCACATTTTTCAGTTTTGTGAAGTTTGCCATTAGGCAGAATTTAAAGTATTTTTTTTTCTACACAGGTTTTCATTAATTCAAATACCAGTGAAATATGCAAATCTAAAAGTGAGAAGAGTTAATGTGTTGAGCTCTGTGTGAAAAGGGACCATTTTCCTTAGTAAAATGTTGCATTTTTGTTTTTTAGCTTAAGGAAAGTGGTTATTGTACGGGTCACGAACCAGATTCTCTGGAATTTAGCACTGTGGGAGGATGGATTTCAACTCGGGCATCAGGCATGAAGAAGAATATCTATGGCAACATTGAGGACCTGGTAAATTGCTTTCTAGTTATTATATAATAATTGATTTATGTGTAAAGATTAATATAGTATGATTAAAGGCTTCTAAAAATTAAGAATTGGATGATAGACCTACCTAAAATTATACCCCTTTTATTATAGTGAAATTAAATATATATAAAGATGCAATTAAGATACATAAGTATAGATGTTATTTAAGGATATCCCTTTTCAGGTGATTAATGTTTAAGTTTTGTGGCTGTTTTACAGTATCCAACTTACAAACTACACAAATACTATTTTACAAGTCTTGTGAAAACCTAGTCTTCAACTTTACCAAAATTTTTGTTGATACATTTAGGTGATCTCATTATTGATACTTTGTTGCTTTATGTGATTTTACATTTATTTTTCTGAAAAAAGATTTTTCTGTAGACAGGGAGCTTAATTGAAATTATTCTGCTAAATAATGAAATAAAGTGTAATATTTTTATGCACACCATTTTGTTTTAGCTGATCTGCTGCCATTTCAGTGGGAGTTAGCATGGTAATTGTGCAGCTGTGGACACACTAATTAGGAATTAGGTTGCACTTGTTCCATTTGCAGCCTTTCCAGTGATTAGTTGTGTGACCCTGTGCAAACTGAGTTATCTTTCTAGACTTTAGGTCTTCTCATCTGTAAAAATAGAATAATGATACTTGCTGCAGAGTTGTTGTTCTGAGGAAAGGACGGAATGCAAACTCAGCAGTGTTTCTGGACTATAGCAGATATTTCATAAATATTAGTCCCTTATTGCCCATATTTTGATAATAGTTGAAAAGAATTTAATTTATGAAACTACTAAAGTGATGTTCCTATGATTGTTTATCTTTGCTTTTCAAATCTAAAATTTTATCCTTTTCATCAACACCTGATTGGAATATAAAATCTTTTTAAAAAATTTCTTTGTGGTTAACACAAAATATTTAAGATTTTTATTCATATTGTGAATATTTTTAAATGCTTATCTTGCTGTGTTCATTTTCTTTTCCCAAGTACATCTTTGAAAATCAAACTTTTCTTTTTGTAATTAAAATAACCTAAATTCAATTTTAGGGGAGAATAGTGGATCCTTTTGCTATTGGGATTATAAGAACTTTATCAGAGTTAGGCAAATATTTGATAGACTGCTACATTTAGTACTGCTAAAGCATGCAATGTATCTTAATCATTTCTTGGAGATATTTAAAGTTACAGATTATCAAGTGTATGTCATGATGTAATTATTTTCATTAGCAATTATTTAGCACATTTTATTTTAACTTCTTTGCAACAGTGTCCTCTGAAACTGTCTTAATGTATTTTACTTGCTTTTATAAGAACTTCACTGAAGTTGATATTCTTTTAATCCATGTAGTTGCAGTAAAATATTAATCTTTTGAGTGTTTATATAGTTCTTTAATATTAATATACATTTTAAGTAATATATACTAATATATGTATTAAAAGATACTAATGCATTATTTTATTGTTTGAAAAAGCTAAAAATTCAGAAGTCTTGAGTGCTCTCTAGTACAATGGGATAAACTTTCATCTTAAATTCTGATCCTCACTTATTTTTATGGTCATTTAAAGGAATTTTAACTACAGTCCACCTCAAATACTCAAGTATTTCTTAACTTAATGAATATCTCTTCATCAAAGGATTTCCTGAGCATTTGTGATTATACTTTGTTATGCTAGTGTTAAGGGGCTACAACTCAAAGCCGTTAAATAACCCATGCTGCCATGAAAGGAGACTTCCTGTACTTTTTCATAATGAAGCACTGTTAGAAGAAAAGAAACTGAAATCTATGACAGAATCAAAATAAAGATCCTGAATCTTCACAAAAGGAAACAAAGGGTGATATAGTGAGCAATTAATTTAAAATTTTTTTCTGAAGAAAATGCTTCTTTTAAAAATTATAACTGTAATTCAATTTAAGCAATTAGAAAAAAAAACTTTTTTATTTTAAAAATTTTATTTTATTTTAAAAATTATACATATACATACAATTATATGTTGAATATCCCTTATCTGAAGTACTTAGAAACCAAATTGTTTTGAAATTTTTAGGAGCGGAGTTTGGAATACTTGCATATATATAATAAGATATCCTGGTGATGAAACTCAAGTCTAAACACAAAATTGGTTTATGTTTTATATACTTTGTATACATAGCCTGAAGTAATCTTATGAAATGTTTTTAGTGCACCATGATCCATCACATAAGTTCAAATGTAGCATTTTCTACTTGTTGCATTCAATCGATACTCAAAATGTTTAGACTTTTTGGATTAGGGATACTCAATTGGTATTAAAAAAGCCATGTGTTCTCTCTCTCTCTCTCTCTCTCTCTCTCTCTCTCTCTATATATATATATATATATATATATGTGTGTGTGTGTGTATATATATATGATCATATCTAATTTTCTTTATAATTTTTCTTCCAGGCCTTTTTCTAGGCATACCACAAATACATATGAAAATCTAGTTTTTAATATAAAAAAGAGGATCATACTGTGTTTAATGTGCTCTTTAAATTTATCAGTATATTAAAATGTAAATCATTATAGGTTTGTACTAGAATTTTAAAACTTTTTTTTTTTTTTTTTTTAAGATTTAGTTATTTTATTTGAAAGGCAGAGTTAGAGAAAGAGAGAGAGAAAGAGAGAGATATGTTCCATCTGCTGGTTCACTCCCCAAATGGCTGCAACAGCCAGGTCTGGGCCTGGTAAAGCCAGAAGTCTGGAACTCTATCCAGGTCTCCCACATGGGTGCAGGGGCCCATGTACTTGGGCCATCCTCTGCTGCTTTCCCAGGCATGTTAGCAGAGAGCTGAATCAGAAATGGAACAGCTGGGACTTGATCTGGCGCCCATATGGAATGCCAGCATCACAGGTGGCGGTGTAACCTGTACACCGTAACACCAGCTCCTCTTTTTCTTTTCTTTTTTCCCTTTTCCCTTTTCTTTCTTTCTTTCTTTCTTTCTTTCTTTCTTTCTTTCTTTCTTTCTTTCTTTCTTTCTTTCTCTCTTTCTCTCTTTCTCTCTTCTCTCTTTCTCTCCTTTCCCGTCCTTTCCGGCCTGCCCCCTTCCGGCCGGG